CTCGAGATCCCGACTTATTATCTCGAGATCCCGAGAAACTAAGTCAAGATCTCGAGATCCCGACTTATTATCTCGAGATCCCGAGAAACTAAGTCAAGATCTCGAGATCCCGACTTATTATCTCGAGATCCCGAGAAAATAAGTCGGGATCTCGAGATCTCGAGATAATAAGTCGGGATCTCGAGATCTTGACTTAGTTTCTCGGGATCTCGAGATAATAAGTCGGGATCTCGAGATAATAAGTCGGGATCTCGCGATAATAAGTCGGGATCTCGCGATAATAAGTCGAGATTTCTTTCCTTTTTTTTTTCTCCATGTCCCCTTAGGGGCTCCGTAGATTTTCTCAGCTGTTAGATTCATTTTTTTTTATCTGTGGCAAAAAATCAAATGCCATTTCTCTCGCTAGCGCTAGACTGTTGCATTTATTTTGGTTGTATTTACCCAGAATGCCGTGCGCTGTAGTCCACTTTCTGCTTTTGGCGCGGTCTCCACTTCAACCGAACTGAGACGGAGGTTTGTGGGTTCAGTTTTTGTTCACATCTCCCCAAACAAACTAAACTTCCTACAAACGAACCAGTCTGACCAGCGTTCACCATTTTGTTTTACAGCTTGTATTCATTTGGACTTTGCATTCAGGTCAACTATTGTGCTAACTGGCTAAGCTAACCGTTTGGTTTCGTAACATTTCTGCTCTGCCTTTATTTTCCATCAGGTTGTTATTCTGACCTCGTTGGCTGTTTGCTGTTTACCAATATGGATGTGACACTGAAGGTTATTTCTGCAGACTGTAACCTTCAGCTTTCTATGTAAACAACTAAAATAATGTGGCCGCAGTTTCAAGGTTAGAAAATGATGTATGCGCAAATTATAGCAGTTTTATAAGACGGTTTAAATCACGTTTTATCAGACTCCAACACTGACAGTCTGATTAACTGATACTTGATCTATTGGAAGGTTATCTACTGCAGGTGAGATTCTAATATAGATGTCTGTTTAGAAAACCTTCAAATCTGGAATAAATTCATCTATCCAACAGCAGAAATGATGAAAGCAGAGACGCTGCTGCTGCTCACTGAGGCGTTTAAACACTGAAGGATTCGGATTTAAATGGATTTTCTTAGAAACGAAGCCAGAAAAGTAGATAAAACTCAAAGTAATGAGTCACTTGGCCTTAAGTTAAGGAGGGTTAATTGCTCTTTTTATCACTATTAAATTAACAAATGGAGATAAAAGAAGATGTCTTGAAGTAATTAAAGATGTTACATTTGGAGTCGGTACTGAGGAGAATTCAGGATATTAACTCTATATGTCAAATACAGCTGTAATAATCACAGCTGTACTTGGTCTGATGTTCATCAGATCAAAAGTTTTTATGTTTTTATGTTTCCTGCATAAATAATCAGACGCATCGGCTCATTTTTCCATCTTCCTCCTGGGCAGCAGCAGCTCCTCTCCTCTGTTTTCCGTCCATTAGCTCTCAGATCAGCCTGTTGTTGGCTGTAAAATGTGGACGAGAATATTAACTCGCTCTCTTTCCGTCTTTCCTGTTTCTCTTCGTCCGTCTTCACAGAAAGTCAGCGAGAAAGTCGGAGGAGCAGAAGGAACCAAGCTGGACGATGACTTCAAGGAAATGGAAAAGGTCATTTATCAATAAACGTCCAATAAACCGTTTAAAAGTATCTATAAAGTTCTGAATCAAGAATCTTCTGATTCTGATTTAATGATCAAAAAGCTTTGATAAAGTCAAAAACTGACATGATTCTTTCTTTAAATGAACTGTTTTTTGCGTTTAAAAGTCCTAATTTAATTCTAATGTGCTAAAATATTAAATATCTTTAAATGTCCTGATTTGTAAAACCGATACCAAAGTATCAACATTCCTCATTTTACTTTTTAACTTATTTTTAATGGAGGATTTCTCATAAAATTTCTTCATTCTAGTAAGATATGACTTTATTCTGGTAATATTGTTTTATTTTGACGTTATTGTGTAATATAAAGAGTTTATTTTCAAAATGAAGAAAATAAATAAAAATGGTTCTTTGCTAGAAGCAGAATAAATACTAAAAATTAAAAATGCTCAGTTAAATTCAAATCTTCAGGTTTATATTAAGGCCAGTAATTGTTTTTTTTTTGTTGTTTTTTTACAGTATAAACCTTTTCTTAAAAAACGTATAAACTTTTTTTCTTACTGGCGGCCACACAAAGTTATTCTAAGGACCACTAAAGGCCCACAGGCCACAACTTGGACACCCTGGTTTATAATCCACCAAAATTAAGTCGGTTTATTTTATGTTTTTACTGATAAAAATAATTTATTTTTGTAATAATTGGTTCTGAATTTACTCGTTTGTTCCTCTTTGTCTCCTGCAGAAGGTGGACATCACCAGCAGAGCGGTGCTGGACATCATGACCAAAACCACAGAGTACCTGCAGCCCAACCCAGGTGTGGTTCACACACACACACACACACACGCACACACACACACACACACACACACACTCTCTCTCTCTCTGCTGTATGAAAACATGGCTGACGGTCAGAGCCTGTGCTTCCTGGCAGCATCCAGAGCCAAGCTGAGTATGATCAACACCATGTCGAAGATCCGCGGCCAGGAGAAGGGGCCCGGCTACCCGCAGGCCGAGTCCATCCTGGGAGACGCCATGCTGAAGTTCGGGCGGGATCTGGGAGAAGAGTCCTGCTTTGGTAAGCAGGAATCTGTTCCCTGAACTGGGATTTCCTTCATTACTGGGGAGAAAAACTCTGGAAACTCAGCAGGTTTAAGGCATTGAGGTGTTTTATTTAAACTGAACTAATCCATCTTGTTCAGAGGAGACGAAAACTTTCTGGCTTTATGCCTTAAGTTTACAAAGTTCTGCTCCAAAGAACCACCAGACTTCTGGGAAATTTACTAAATATCAAAACGGACAGATCGTTAATAAATACCCGTCTAATGTTAATTAATTGATTAGAAGTGCAGATTCTGCACGTTTTTATTCCTCCATTTGTGTTTTTACTGCTTCTAAAAGGAGACGAAGCACTTCAATAAACACTCGGCTGTTTTTGTAATGAATTAAAGTTTGTTGGTGTCTGAAAAATGATCTGTTTCCAGAATGAAAATGACACGTTTGTTTTCACTCAGTGGGCAGAAAATCCAGAAATTTTACTAACGTAAGAGTAGAAATACTTCATAACAAAGTAACAAAATGTAACTAGTTACTATGAAACTCTGCCCTCTTTTGACTTGACGGTTCTGTTGTGTTGGTCCAGGCCTGGCGCTGATCGACGCCGGCGAGGCCATGAAGGAGCTCGGCGAGGTGAAGGACGCCCTGGACATGGAGGTCAAGCAGAACTTCATCGACCCGCTGCAGAACCTCCACGACAAAGACCTGAAGGAAATCCAGGTGGGCCGATGGACGAGGAGCCGCCGAACGGCAACCAGAACCGGTTCCGGCTAACGCCTTGTGTCTGATCGCTGCAGCATCATCTGAAGAAAATGGAGGGCCGGCGTCTGGACTTCGACTACAAGAAGAAACGCCAGGGGAAAGTCCAGGACGACGAGATCAAGCAGGCGCTGGAGAAGTTCGACGAGAGCAAAGAGATCGCCGAGCAGAGCATGTTCAACCTGCTGGAGAGCGACGTAAGCAGCATGGCCGCCCTGCTGTTGCTAGGAGACGATTCAGAAAAAATACAAACAGCTTTAAACTGTTTAAATTCCACTTATTTTCACTGTTTTTAGATTATCTGCACTCACTTTAATATTTTATGACTTCTTAGGTTTTTCATCTTCCTTTCATACATATTTTATGGTATAAATAAAAAAAATTTATATTTAGTATTTTATTTTTTAATAATTTTTGTTTCATCTTTTAAATCTTCATTAATTTTATGACATTTTATATTATTTATCTCCTAGCTACTTTATTTTTTTAGTATATTTGTATTTTATCTATTTTACTTTCACACTTTTGATTTTATATTTTAATTTGTAACTCATTTATTTTAAAACATTTTTTAGCACTTTTTATATATATTCCTTTATTTTTTTATTATTCTTTAGGGATTACATTTTATTCATATTTTCTGTTTATGTAATTTTCTAGTTTTCTGTTTTAAATGGATCTTTATTTTCTTTTTTTTTCTTCCTCCTGCAGCGTAATAATTTCTGGTCATTTTAATTGGTATCATGGAGAAACAGATTTTAAACAGTTTTTTTATTTTTGCACAAAATTAGCTTTTTCACATTAAAAAGCTATTAACTCAAATGAGGCAGTAAAAACTGTTTCAAAGTCACAGGAAACTTTTCACATGTTCAATTAAAAATACATTCATATAGTTCATACATCAGAACAACAAACTGTGGCTCTCATTTTAAAAAATCCTCTAAAAACAGAAACTTCATCATAAATTTGAATATTTTTTATTTGTAAACAGTTTCTTCTTCTGTCAGTCCCACATTTTCAGCCACGTCTCTGTTTATCAGAGCAGCAGGAAAAAGACTCAGGCCTGCAGAGCAGAACCAGATTCAGGCCCAGCATGAAGCGGCAGAACCATAACATCCTGTGTGTGTGTGTGTGTGTGTGTGTGTGTGTGTGTGTGTGTGTGCGCGCTCCAGATAGAGCAGGTGAGCCAGCTGGCAGCGCTGGTCCAGGCCCAGTTGGAGTACCACAGCCGCTCCTCAGAAATCCTCCAGCAGCTCTCCAGCAAGATGGAGGACAGGTATCGATCCGTCCTCCCACCTCGGCACAGAAATAAGCCGGTGAAGGCAGACCAGCGCGCTTTCACTGAAACGTTTGCGTTTCCCTGTTCCCAGGATAAAAGAGGTGTCCAGTAAACCCAGGAAGGAGTACACTCCCAAACCCAAGATGACTCTGGAGCTCCTGCCCCCCAGCGAGAGCCACAACGGGGGGATCCACTCGGCCAAATCCCCGGGGAAATCACCAGGTACCCACCCTGCGTCCAACCGGAAAAATAAAGTCACACTGAGGCTTAAATTCAAACCTGTGGATGGAAATTAACCGTAAAACTGGAACAAGGGTTAGAAATGAAGCACATAAAGAAAAATCTGCCATCTTTTTGCCTTTTAACATGGAGAATCTGTAAATGTTTATTGATTTAGTTAAAATAACCTCAATAAAAGTGGCACATTTTCTGCCAATTGGCTGTTTTGTAGCTTTCAATTTTAAGAAAATATGGTGCAGTTGCCAGTTTCTGCCAGCAGGTGGCAGATCCATCCCACCGCCTCATAATTCTGTCTATTGAACAAGAATCAATGTGATCAGAGACTTTACTAATTATAGTTACACTGTCATCTGTATTCAGACTGTAGAAAAATGTCAGATTTATCTTTTTATATTTGCTCAATTACATTTACTTGAGTTATTTTTAGGAATATTTTTACTACACTGTACTGCACTCTTTTGACTTTTGTTTGACTAATTTTATTGTGAAGCATTTCTTCTCTCACTTTTGTATAATTTCTGTTACTCTGCTGACCTCTGGTAATAATGTTTTTATTTATAATATTATGGTGTTCCTCTGTATTTCTGATTGGTGGAGGTGACTTTGACTGGTCCAGTGATCAGCCTGTGTTTTGTCGTCGTCTCTCAGCGCCGATGGACCAGCCCTGCTGTCGAGCGCTCTACGACTTTGAGCCAGAGAACGAGGGCGAGTTGGGCTTCAAGGAGGGCGACATCATCACTCTGACCAATCAGATTGACGAGAACTGGTACGAGGGCATGATCAACGGCCAGTCGGGCTTCTTCCCCATCAACTACGTGGATATCCTGGTGCCGCTGCCCCACTAGTGTCCAGCCGGCCGCCCGGTCCTTCCCTCTTGACCAATCCGGACACCCGTGAAACAGCCTGTATTTGCAGAAACGACAAATCACGCCCTCCTTCTACTTCTTCTTCTTCTTCTGTGCTTCTGTGCAATTCTGCTTTCACTACAACGGACCGAAACGAGAGAGGCGCTGGACAACACAGGACTTTCAAAAAGAGACGATGAGGAGGAGACTGTAGGGTAAGCGGCGCAGCGACGGAGGACTGAAAGAGACGAGAAGACGGAGAGATGTTGGTCTGTTGAAGCATGGTGCTTAGCCTGGCAGCAATGGACACCAACGAGGCTTTGGAGACTTGCGAACAAGGCTCAGTGTATTATGTACGTGCATGTCTGAATGTGTGTTTCAACCTGTCCGTACTCCGTTATGACGAAGCCAGCACAAATTCCTGCTCATCGGTTACCAACCTGACGGCTTTTCCTCATCCCTTTGCTTTGACTTCTTCTGCTTTTCTACAAGTTTTCATTTTTGTTCTCTCCGTCTTACTAGCACTGCCTTTTAGCATGGCTCTGTAGCCTGTAGAGCTACAGCTGTTGTCATTTCTGCCTTTCTGAGTCGGGGTAGATTTTCAGTTCAGTGGTTGGATGCATGGACCAGCCACATCAACGGTTTAGGAGATTAGACCCAGTTTCAGGGTGAATACCAGGTTTAATCCCTTGTTTTGAGTTTATCTGTCTTGAGTTTATCTGTCTTGGATGGAGACTTTAGCAGAGTTTTAGGAGACAGCAGCCATGTTGGATCGGTGAAAGAGAGGAAAACCTTGAGGTTGCCGTGTTCTACAGCGGCTAAAATGAACTGGTAACCATTTGTAGAAAGATTTGCACTGAGCTAAAGAGAAGTTTTGTTTTCTGTCCTCTTAGAGTCACATCTGTTGGTTTTAAAGATGGAGCTGCTTGCGGATTTGTCTAGTTCCCTGCCTTTGCATGCGAGACTGACTCACAGAAACGTTTAACGTTCAGGACTTTGCATTCAGTTCGGATGTAGATCACTGCCTCCCCAAAACGACACATAACTGTTGAAGTAGGAAACAAAATAGTTTACAGAAAGCTTGTCGCCTGCAGCAGTTACAGTTTTCAGTCATTTCACCAACAACCGGTTTGCCATCAGTCAGATTTTAACGTAAAATGAATTTATTAAAATTTGTAGCTTCTTAGGGAGACAAAAAGGCCATTTCTGATCATCTTTATCATATAAAAAATGCCACTTGAAGGAGTCAGACTTTGATTTCTGCATTAATGAGATTTATTTGAACAAGTGAACTCTAAAAACTGTCAATGACCAATTCTGGCCTAAAACATGAACTTGACAAAAACACAATTTCTTCACTAATACATAATTAAATCTTATTTTTATATATAGTTTGATACACTGACCAGTTCCTTTACTATAGCAACTATTACCAGTTTTTTATTTCCTAACGTTATTTGGGTTAAACTTTACAGTTATAACTATTTGCAAGATGTTGCATCACCAAATTCTGTTTTAATGCAACAACCGAACTTATTATGTTTTCACATTGTAGCATATTTAATTTCCCTTTGGGATCAATAAATTATTCTTTAACTGACCTGAACATTATTCATGCAGGTCTTCAGTGGTACAGAACTTCAGAAGGTTATTTTTGAGTCCACATAAACATTAAAACTCCCTCCAGGTTTCCAGCTGGATGGGGAAAATCCTAGAACCTCAATGGTGCTCCGAGAATTTTGTTCTGGTTCTAGAATTTTCAACAGAAAAGATAAAAAATATAGTTTGGGTTTGTTCATAAAACCAGTTTCATTGTTGGTGGTAAATATCGTCCATTCTTGTTCTAGATGATGTATAATTAGACAGGACAGTGGGACTGGAACCACAGCTGCTCGTTTTAGTTCCTGCAGCAGTGGCGCTCTTTTTAATTGGGTTTAAAGGTGTTTGTTACAACCTCATGAAAGAGATTAAGTTGGTAACTGTTGTATATGGCTCTTCAATAATGCAGTAGTTTATCAAGCACTTAAGCTATACTGGTAGTAATAAAAAATACATCAATAAAAAAAACCTTTAGTTCACGTAAATATTTTAGTGAAACATCTGAAATGTTCGGTTTCTGACTTTATGCTAGCTACATGTTTTTAAACATCTAGAGGTTTAAGATTAGTATGTGTTCCAGAAGCCAGTTGAAATTCACATACTGATGAGGCATAGCTGTTTCAATGTTTTGATTTTGCAAAACTGAAAAGGCATTTTTACATTTCTAGGAGTTTTGCTAGCAAAAAATATAAGCGGAGTGCTAAATGTTGTACTTGTGGCTTCCTCTTGTACCGTAGTGCTCTTTATAAATGGCTCCAAATTTACATTAAAACGTTTTTTAATTCCAATATTAAGCATTAATTCTAAATTAAAACTCTGCTCTCCTGGTAATAATTGCATTTAACAAACGATATCAGCAGGAATCTGTGCTAGCAAAGCTAATGCTAACTGGGTAAAGAGTGGCTAATCACACACAACCGTTAGCATCGTATATATTTGTGCTTTAATGAATCAGTGTTGAGCAGAGAACTCATCAGTATTCGCTGGCTAGATACTGAATACCTCATTCAGCAAAGTAAACTAAGTCTTTTGGATTAGATTGTCAGAAGGACATGCTTCATTTATAAGCACTGCTCGCTTTTGTCACGTCTTACTAGTGAAATTATTTTAAATAGGTAATCTAACGTCTGTGGTAACATTTTAAAGTACATGGACTTATTTCCATTAGTAAGGATTTCGATACAAGTAAAAGATCATACTGTCGATGACTTTTGTATTGACTTTTGTATTGAGTTTTAAAACAGACAAGTGAGTATCCTTCATATACTATCCATCTAAATTCAGTTGAAAAATATCGCAAGTATTATTTCTCTCTAAATTTCCAGCTGTTTTAATAATTACAACACAGACTACAGATTTTTGTCTTCGTTGTTCTTCAGCTTTGTGGTTAATTGACAGAAGCAACTATACCTCATTAATGCTTTATCAAATGACATTAAGCCAGTGATGAAAGGATTTAACATGTCATACACTATTTTGGCTGGAGAATAGTGAACTTTGAAGCTGTAGAAACATAAAATAGAGTATTTTAGACATGAATGATAATATTATAAAACTGTAGTGTCAAGCTAACCACAGCGATCTACTGTCAAACAATAAACACCATGGCAATAAATTATGATGCAACAATAAAATGTAACATTTCAATAAGAACTCTATCTATCTATCTATCTATCTATCTATCTATCTATCTATCTATCTATCTATCTATCTATCTATCTATCTATCTATCTATCTATCGATTGGCTAGCTAGCGTGCTAGCTCACTAGCAATCTCTAGTTAAGTCTATCTGTTAGCTAGCTAGCTTGCATGTTAGCTAGCGGTCCCTAGCTAACAGTCTATCTATTGGCTAGTTAGCTTGCGTGCTAGCTAGTTATCTCTAGCTCTAACAGTCTATCTGTTGGCTAGCTAACTTGCATGCTAGCTAGCGATCTCTAGCTGACATTCCAATGTGCGACACCAAAATGAACTTTCTCTGCCACATTCTAGCTAATCCTTAACTGTTGCAGGTTGTTGTAGAAGATGGAGGTTTGGAGCACAATGTATGTTCAGTGTTTTTCTTTTTTATTTTATATTATTTATTTTTTTAGCTTTTTTTCATTGTGTGAACTTCTGTGTTTACAAATCTGATTTTCAGATTCTGTCTGTGGAAAGTTTGTGAGTTGCATGCAACCGAAGCGCTTAATGTGTGCTGTCAAGGATGGCTGTCCAAACACAAAATTAGTAAAAATACAAATAGTGAGACGTCTGTCTCACCAGCTTTCTTTGTGAGCAATTAGCCTATTTTGGAAATTGCTATATAATTGCTCTGTGGGTTGTTATTTTACAGCTTTTAGCCCACTTAGGTCTAAGCATTCCTATTTAAACTACAAAGTGCTTTATGACATTTTTATTTTCTGTTAAATGTCTTAATTTAATTCGGCCCTGCTTTTGTCTGTTTCTGTTTTTCGTCCTTGCCGATTTGCCCTCTATGGCGACATGTATTCTAACCTCAATGAGGGACTTGTTGTACAGTGTTATTCTCCATGTTCGCTATTCACATAAGTGAGTGTCAGACCTCGGCGACTTTACTTGCCTCTGCTTAGTTTTCAGCGTAGTGTGGACTGAAGGATAAAACGTAGCACTTAAACCAAACCTGGTTTCATCTCAGCCTTTCATCGGTTGGAAGCTAGCAAAAACACTCATCTGGGATGATCTTCAAACTATTTAAGAAAGGAAAAAAGCTGAGCATTGATATTAAAATGCAATGCTTTTTCAGTTTGAGTTTAAATTGAGACTTGGTCATCTGCTTTCTTCTGTTAGTTTTTGTGGGGGCATCAAAAGACTTTATCCAATGGAGTTGCCCTTTTTCTGCTTCGATGGCACCAAAAAAGCCATTTTTCTCCTGTAATTTACTTGCATCATCATGACGAAAATTAGTGCAGCGTTCCATTTACTTCAAAGACAGGAACTGTGAGCCCCGAAAGAGCCAAAGAAGAAAAAGAAAAATGTGCTTTAGCAAGATCCTGACTTGTTAGTGCAAGATCCCAGAAAGGTTTTGCAAACCCCTCTGAGTTTCCTTGTGACAACAGACAAAGATTTGCAAGATCAAGAGGAGTGATGAAATCCCACAAAAGTTTCATTAGATCAAGCAAAACTTGAGAAGGATTAATGCAATTAGTGTTTAGTAGTGGACAGCTGTGTTGGCCTAGTCACTGCCCGAGTGTTGTTGCAGTTTGTCTACATTGACAAATGCTTAAATGAAACTCAAACTTATGATTTCTTTGTCTTGTCTCAGGCCTAGACCACATGTAGGTCAATATCTGGTCAAACAAATACATTTTGATGTGTTTTTGCCTTTTTTCCAAACAAAAACTGTTTAATATCACTTAAATGATTATAAAACTCAGGCCCAAGTGGAGATTTGGGAGAACTCTGTATTTGTCTTTGCAACAAATAATACACCAATTTATCCACAAACCTCATTTTACACAATTCCCAATCGACATCGTCTTATTTTAATAACTTTATATTCTAATACACTATTTAAACGTAGTTCAACCCATAAGTCTGTCCACACAAATGAACCTCCTGGCGCCGTGTTTAATTCCTAACAGGAAGTTGGGATTGTTTTGAGACGATCTGATCAGCTGACAGGTTTTAGCTTAGCGTTACACTGCCCCCTATGGGTTTGGCATGCTTAATACAACGCTCTGGGCAGATTTGTTTGGGTTCAACTGGTTGAAAACATATATGAAACTGATCCTGTGTGTACGATATTGTTTTTTGAAACAATGGAGAGTCTTTCCCTTATCTGCCTCTTGAACCCTCATCTTTTTCAGGAACCCGCCAAACTTTTATGGGATCTTCCAAAAAAAAAGAAAAAAACAAGTCAGGATCTCTGAACATGTATGGAATCTCTGAGAACCTTTGAGAAATCTTGCGACCCTTTTTTGGGATCTTATGAAACAAAAATGTCAGAATCTTCCAAAACCCATTTGGGATTTCACAAAAATGGCAAAATATTGGAAAATCTTACAGATGTTGTAAAAATTACTTGGAATTTTGTAAAAGTATGTTGTAAAGTACTTTTGGGGCTCAGTCTGAGAATAACATCTGTCCCAGTTTAACTGGTTTCCAGTAAAACTCAGTCTCTAATCGTTGTCTTCAGTGAGCAGACTGAACGCTAGCAATGCCAACCAACAGCAACAGGCTCTCTACATTTATCTATGACTGTTTTGAAAATAAATACAGTTTTATGTGTGTGTTTTAGCAAATTTTCAACAGTCATAAATGCAGTTGGACAGTTCAATCTGTCACCACATGTCATGCGTGTGGCGGCCATATTGGATCTAAACTGATGTTGCTCAACCTGTGAACCTGCCCTGCTTTCTGGAAATGTTTGCACTATGATTTCTGAGGCATAATAATTTGGCCTTGGTCTGACCTGTGGCTGTGTTACATAATGAAGCTGTACGCCTTGTGGCTGTATTAAAAATGAGATATAAAAAAAACCAGCTCTATGCCTGTGGAACCTGCCATTCTCTGGTGAGCTACTTGTGTGTATGTAAATATATATACACAACTCATTACTATTTATTTAAGTATTGTACATATTCATTTGGTTATTTATTGATTTATTTATTCCAGAGTCCTGTTTATTCGTCAGGCACCTGTGACATTATTTTGATGGTTGTAATCACTTGGGTTTGTGGTGTAGCGGAGAGGAGGAGGTGGTTATTTTCAGGGTCTGTGGGTGGGGTGGAGAAAGAAACCATAGCTGTGATTCTAACTGTTGCTCTCCTCGTATTGGACAGTGATATACTCTAAGACCACTGTATGTATAACTGCTTGTTGTGAAGATGATCTACAGTGATATGACAATAAAGAACTAAAACCACAATAAAAAGCTGTGTATAATGTGTCTAACGTTTATTTTATATACAGAGTCCACATTCAAAATCTGAATTAAAGAGAAAAAAGTGTTTGTTATAGTGTAAAGATTGATGCGTTTTTTAATGCTTGTTTTCCAGAACAACTAGCAAAAGCATCTGAACTTCAAAAATGTTAGATCAGGGTTGATTTTGCTTTTTAGGGTGAATAATGCAAACGAATAAAACGGCGAGTTAATAGAGACCAGAATGGGTAAAATATGACGGCATGTTAGGGTCATTGTAGAAGAAGGAATACATTTCCGTCAAAATATCACTGAATTTTTCAAGAAAAGACAAAAAACTTTTTTTTTTTTTATTGCAACTTTTCAAACTCAAACTGCCATGTTTTCTCCTCTTTTTTTACTGGAAAATGTCTTAGATTAATCTAAAAATTGCAGAGTTTTTTTGTAAAATGTGTGAATATTTTCACTGTAAAATGAATTCCTGATTGATTTTAATATACACACATCCACTAGAGACGCTAGAAATCAATGTTTCCTTCATGTTGCCGTTTCCCTCCGTTTTTCTATATGTGATATGTTCAGGTGCTTCAAGAGAAGCTCTGAATCTGTTGCGAAAAGAATGGGGGGAAAAAAATGAAACTTCTTTTTTTTAACTGACGGCTTGAAGCAATATTTGTGCTGTAATTTTCTAAAACATCCCACCAACTAGTTTAGGAAGTCATTTAACTCGAGTTACACGTGTTCATTTTGCTGTTTGTCGTTTAAAATAGCCAAATTTCTGTTGGTACTTGAAAGCAACAACGCCTTGACCCACTTTCACACACGCTACGTAAACGTTGTGTTTCTGTATCGCTTTATGATATGAAAGCAGCGCACTTCCGGAAACTATGTTTGCCTTTTCAAAATAAATGTAAAACGCTAAACATACTTTGGAGATTATTCCATAAATACGAGGCTTTTATTTTGCTTATATATGGAACAAACTGATATATATTTCAATTATGAGTTAGAATGTAAAATAAGTAAAGTTAATGGTCAGCGCCTCTACTGTACCGCCTCAGACTTTTATTGTTGTGGTCTTCGCTGGAAGTTCTTTGTGCTAGCGGTAGCTAACTTCACTCTGTTTCCGCGTGTTGATGCTGAAGAGAGGATCGTGTAGAAACGAGTGTTTTGCATCGCAGAGAGTCAGAAGTAGAGAAAAATGGACATGAAGAAGAGGGTTTCTTTAGAGTTGAGGCACCGGTCTCCAGCGGAGGTGAGAGTCCCGGGTTTTTAACTATTTAACTGCGGTGTGAATTCAACCGGCAGCGGGAGGGGGAGGAGGAGAGGTGGTGGAGCACATGGCAGCTGGATCCGCAGCTTCACCAAACTACAAACTTATTTATTTATGTCTTCAAGTCAAAGTTATTCTAAAATAACAGATAAATTTAAAATTTTTGGAGGTAAATTTATTCCCTGTTGTTCACGCTACTGTTTGTCTAATGCGAGTATAAACTTGTGCTGGTGACGCTGAAGTTAGCGTCCGTTTTGGAACTTTAGTAAAGGGATAATTTTGAGGAGTTTGGACTATTTTTATTGAATTATGGACCAAATTATAAAATCCTTAGACTGCTAATACCTAGACTTTGTTATTCTAAACTGAACAGTATTTTTTAATACAGTTAGTTATTTGTGAAACATTCGTTTTAATGTGAAACTAAAACTTGCGTTTTAGTACCCATTTCTTTATCTTTAATATTGTAGTATAAACTGCAACAATTATGCCAGTCTAGCCCGATCTGAATAGTTACACACTAAATATACATTCTTAAAAACAGACATTTATTTGTGAAATTTATAAGTATCTGTTGTAATTTTTTTAATTTCACAAATCAATTTAAGACAACAAATAAAACAAAAGTTTTTAAGAATATTTGTAATGTGTAAATTACCCAATCAAACTTTAAACTTTGCAATTATAAACGATGTATGATGATTCAAAATCTTGAACTAGTGAAATACCCCTTTACTGTAGCTCTGAATCGGATACCAACTTCAGCCTCACACATCCGCGTTTGTTTCGTGGGCCTGACTAATATCTGGAACTACATTACTACGCAGCTGCATTTGACTCCGTTAATATAAAGAAATGTTTACAGCAAATTATTAAAGTAGCTTTACATTTTAATATTTTAATCCGTGGAAGTTATTAAATATGTTTATAAACCAATAACTATGTGTTGTTTGAATATTACGACGTATTATAATTTAAACTCGGCAGGAAATGAGTTTTGAATGTTAATCTTTGTACATTAAATAAAATTAAAATAGAAAGGTAAGTTTTAAATATTAATTTTTGAGTTTGCCTACACTAAACTTTGTGCCCTTTGTGTGTATTGTTACGTTTTTTTCCTTTAATAGCTGCCTGTACCAACGCTGTGTCAGAAGGTAGTCGGAGCCCATAGCTGTAACGTGCCGTTAAGTGCGCGCTAATGCTAGCTTGAAGCTAAAGTAGCCTAACGGTAATTCATTGCGCTCTGCCCGATGTGTTATTCATGTTAGTTAAAATTCTCAGGTTCAACATTAAACTTAAAAGAACAATATTGGGATTTTCTTTTTAGCGTTTATGGAGGTTAAAAAGAAGCATTGCGACGGTTAGCAGATATGAGACCCACGTGACGCCGCTCGTGCGTCGGGAGTTTACAAACAGAAGAGGAGGTTGGGTTCCAATAAAGACCTGGTCAGGACCCGTTCCAATTATAAAACTGGTCAGGACCCGTTCCAATTATAAAACTGGTCAGGACCCGTTCCAATTATAAAACTGATAAGGAAACCTTTCCATTTATAAAACTGATAAGGAAACCTTTCCATTTATAAAACTGATAAGGAAACCTTTCCATTTATTAAACTAATCAGGAAATCTTTTCAATTATAAAACTGATCAGGAATTATAAAACTGCTAACTGGTCCCTTTTATTTATAAAACTGCTATTTTCCAGTCTAAGATTGATGAGGGGTGCTTTCCATTTAGATTGAAGTGAAATATATTTTACAACCATTACAGACTAATTTTCATCCAGCAGAGCTAACTGTAGCTTGGTCCACAGGCGAGCCAACAATAGATGTGTAAATCATTAATTAGCAAGTAGTTAGCGTGTCTGGAATGTGCACTGTCTGGGGGGTAAGAGGTTGATGTATGAGGCAGTAACCAAGGCATCAGACAGTCGTTGAAAAGAGATGTTCCCCTTTTCAAATTTAAACCCTGGAATTAAAATGCATTTATGTTGCGTTGCAGAGCTTTACATGTAAATAAAATCCCTCCACACCTGAGAATAAAGTCCTGCTGAGTGATCAAATCACTGTTTACATGCTAATAAATGCACAAAGAAGCACAGTCTAGCTGCTAATTTGTTGTGGGCTGGACACACACAAGACATCAACAGGTCTACTGGTGTTTCTGTAGCATTTAGGAGCTTTAATTACTATATTATTCAGACATGAGCATGGCTGGGATTCACTTAAAAACTCAGGTTGAGCTAAGCTAAAGATTTCTACCAATAAAAAGAGGAAACATCGAATAGCTTTCTAGTTATTATTGCAGGCATGTTGTTCTTTTCATAGAGATTATATGTGTTTTGCATGTGTTGGTGTTTATCACAGTGGACACACGTAGCTTTTAAAAACATAATTTAAATAGTCACCTGATGTCCACCAATAAATTTATGAGATAATCTGATGTATAAAATCCTCCGAATACTATAGAAGTGAAAGTACTTTTCAGTTCAAGCCACTTGTATCTTTTGTTGAATTTTGAATCCTACTGTTGTTATAGATATGTTAATTTTTGTTCCTCCATTAAAATATTACAATAATTTTATACTCTAGTATTAGCTGGAAGCTTCTGCAACTGGCTGATCATCTGTTGCGCCCTCTGGTGGCCACTTTAAGCACGTTGGCTCAAATCGTAAAATATTTTTAAAAACTTTAGCTTATAAAGTAAAAACGTTATAATAGAGATTATTACTGTACATTAGGACAATAAATTGATTATTAATTTGGTGATTCCATGATTCAAAATAGATACATTTCGAATGCACTGATTTGACATTTTCGAGCCGATGCCGATATTGATACCGCAGTTATGGCTGATATTTCCTGATATTACATTTACTTTTCCCTCCCCTCAGGTGCAGGAGCTGGTCCTGGACAACTGCCGCTCCAGTGAGGGAAAGATCGAAGGAATCACAGAGGAGTTCTCCAACCTGGAACTGCTCAGCCTGATCAACGTCGGACTGACCAGCGTAGCGGACATCCCCAAACTGGACAAGCTCAAAAAGGTGAAATCTATTCAGAATCCTCTGGCAACAATAAGCTGATGTTTCTGCAGAGTGTAACTTATAAATGCTGAAACTGTCACTGTGTCGTAACACAAGACAGATGATCTGTGGGAAAAAAACGAGCTCCTCCACCTTCACTCAGTGCTAACGGGAAACAACCAATCAGAGCCAGGAGGCGGGTCTTAGTGCTGTCAATCACCCCTACTCTGTTACGCTGCAGCTAGCAGAGAATGAATCATCAGTGATGGCATAAATCTAAAAAAAAATCTCAAATTTTGAAGTTTGAAAAGTCAAAAAATTGCTAGAGGAAAAGCTGGTTTCTAGACAAAACGTGAACATTTCTGAGTTCAAAACTTCTAAATTTCTATTTTTGAATTTTTTTTTACTTTTGAAACATTTAAAAAAAAATTTAATAAAAAAAAGTTCTGAGGTTAATCTAAACAAATTCTAGAAAACTTAAAATTTTTAGTTTAAAAAGTCACAAATTTTCTAGAAAAAAATTCTGAGATTAATCTAAAATATTTTTGAGAAAAAAACTCAAATTATGGACTAGAAAACAAGAGTGAGGAGAGCCGAACCGTAACGGTTAGTTGTTTCTCTGCCAACTGCACATTTAAGGGCGAGTACACAAGGTTGATTGACAGCACTAAGCCCCTCCTTCTGGCTTTGGTTGGTTTGTTTTTCACCGGTTCTCATAAACATGTTTTTATAAAAGTTACACGCTGCAGTTTTAAATGATCTGTTGATCATTTAAAACTGTTGTGATGTTCTCAACATCACAACATTTGTTGTGATGTTGAGAACATTTTACTGCTGCAGAGTCGCTTTAAATCCCACTAAATGCTTTAATTTCACCCCCCTCTGTGTCTGTAGCTGGAGCTGAGTGATAACAGGATATCAGGCGGTCTGGAGGTTCTGGCAGAGCGGCTTGTCAATCTGACACACCTCAACTTGAGCGGGAACAAGTTCAAAGACATCAGCACGCTGGAGCCGCTGGTAGGTCTGAAATGAGACGCCAACACCTCCGATTTGGTTGGTTAACGACGGACACGACGCCTGCTGGCTGGGTTAGCTTACAGTCGACCTTTAAACTGGAATATTGAAGCAGTAACGACTTAAACATATAATCTGACTTTTTTTGTTGTTGTCTGGCTTTCTTTTCTAAGAAAATAAATTACAAATGACAGAAAGTACTTTGTATTAGCGGCAGGCTGCAATTATTTTTAATTGTTTAATTACTGGGAATATATTCATAATATTAGCTGAATGAAGACAGTTTAGTTTTTTGTTTTAAATATCTGACGTAGAGCAATCCTCCCCCAATCATTCCAGGGGTTTTTTCAGCAACTGACCAATCAGCATTCCAAGTACAGAACTCCGACAATATTGACAGCATCTATCATAGAAAACACGCTGAGGTCAGAGAGATTTTGAGGAAAAATAATAGATAATCACGGTCTAAGTTGTCGGTGGGTAATAACCGATCCTGACAGCCGTTACCCAGAACGTGTAGAGGGCAGAATACAATTTATTACATTTCCAAAACCAAAAAGGAGCCTGGAATAACACAAGAAATCGATCTTGGAGTGCAGCCCACCTCACGTCCAGATGAATGAAACTGATGGACGGAAACTACCAAGTTAGTCAGCACCACAAAGGTAACCGGTTGAAAACCGGTTACCTTTATAACGACACTTACTGATGGCGCCATGCTAACGACTCACTGCTCCATGCTAAATACTCACGGCTCCGTCCTAACAACACGGCTCCGTGCTAACGACTCCCTACTAACGACTCACGGCTCCCTGCTAACGACTCACTGCTAACGACTCACGGCTCTGTGCTAACGACTCACTGCTAACGACTCATGGCTCTCTGCTAATGACTCCCTGCTAACGACTCACGGCTCTGTGCTAACGACTCACGGCTCCGTGCTAACGACTCACTGCTAACGACTCACGGCTGACGGCTCACGGCTGACGGCTCAAGACTCCTTACAAACGGCACAGGCTCCGTACTAACAACGCATGACTGACGGCTAAGTCAAATAAACACAACTCAGTTAAATTAAAGCAATGCTAAACATCTAATCATTTCCAGATCAATAAGTGAAGGTAATTATGCTGGATTTTATGCGTGTATATTCCAACGGTAGCTCTTTGGCAGCATGAAAACAGACTGCGCTAACTGGCACCGTTTCATGCTACTGTTTATTTCTAAGCATTTTTCTGAAGGCAGATTTTCACAAGCCAGTATTATTTACACCCATTTTGTCCCACAGCGTTCACTCTCACAACCAACCAGACTTTGTGTCCCTCATTTGTCCTCCTGGGCTTTATCGTTGATTTCTCCATTTATTGTCCAGCCTTAGCCTGGCCCTTATATTTAAAACAAGATGGCCGCCCTGGTCGTACTGACAAAACGATGGAACAAAGGAGGGAATTGGTGAAAAAAAATTCAGATTCTCCAAAAATGTAATTTTCAAAAGCCAAAAATGAGATGATTGATTTATGAGCTAGCTCTATTCTGACGGTAGAGTTGGTGAGTAGTTATGAAGCGGAGGGAACCGGTTCTGTTCCTGGTTCTGCTCCGGTCCAGGCGGCTGAACGGTTGTTGTTTTTTTTTTTTTGTTTGGCCGCTGCAGAAGAAACTTCCTCAGCTGAAGAGTTTGGACCTGTTCAACTGCGAGGTGACCAACCTGGGCGACTACCGGGACTCCATCTTCTCGCTGCTGCCTCAGCTCACCTACCTGGACGGCTACGACGCCGACGACTGCGAGGCGTCCGACTCGGACGGCGAGGCCGACGCCGTCGATGATGAAGGTCTGCAGTGGTGCCAGAGCCCAACGAACGGTTCGCCGTGTTTGATGTTAATCTGAGCCTTCTTTGTCCTAGAAGGAGAGTCGGAGGAGTTCTGGGAGGAGGAAGAGGACGATGATGAAGATGTGGTGGCGGAAGAGGACGATGACGACAGCGGTGATGATGAGGTTAGCTTCCTGCTTCATCTCCACATCTTCATCACGTTGGTCATCACACTAACATGCTGGTGTTTTTGGCAGGACGGTGGGGTGAACGGAGAGGTGGACAGTGAGGAAGATGACGAGGATGATGACGAGGATGACGAGGAAGATGATGGTGAGTAGCTGGGCTCTTCTTCTGGTTTAACCTCCAGTCTAAGCTAAAAACGTGATTTTCTTTTTAATATGCCTTAAAAAAAACTTTTCAAACCCCTTAAAAATCTGGAAATATTCAACCCTCTAAAATAATACATGCTGGTCCAATTAATGACAGAGTTTCTTATATTTAAGGCCTTAAAATGTCTTAAATTCATTACAAAAATGTTAGCCTTAAGTACTTTGGTCACAGGTCTTACATTTTATTGTGGCAGGAATATTTAACCTTCTTTGTTGTTTTTTTTTCTTTTTCCTTGAAGGCAAATTGCTTTCTGTAATTTGAGGCAGTTGCTAACTAGCTACTAATGTACATTTGCTAGCGAACTTTCTTTTTTTTTTGCATCTATTATGGGTGCAAACTGCAAAGTTTCTGCTGCCAGCCCATAGTTGCACCCAATCATCTCCGATATTTAGTTTTTCTTAAATTTTATTCAAACTGGCATTAAAAAGGTCTTAAATTCATGTATCTGTGATTAAGGCCTTAAAAAGTCTTAAATTAATTTTAAAACCATAACTTGACCTTATATGCTTTAGTCACCAGTGTTAAATTTTGTTGTGGCAGGAATATTTAATCTCATGTGTAGTTGTGTGTTTTTCTTGTGGTTCTTTTCTGTCAGGCAAATGTTTGAGTTGCACACAAACATTTGCTAATAGCTGCTAATCTGTCCTTGCTAGCTAGCTAGCTTTTATGCATTTAAAAAAAAAAATTTATTCAAACTTTATTGAAAAAGTCTTAAACGTCTTAAATTTGACTTTCTGAAACCTGCAGATGCCTTTAATTAGTATATAGTTAAGTTCAACGGGTAATTTTTCCATCCACAGACGAGGATTCGTCTCCGGTAAAGGGACAGAAGAGGAAGAGAGACCCGGAAGATGAAGATGATGAAGATGATGAGTGAACCTCCCACTGTTTCCATCAGCCAACACCAGCTCTGCTTCCACTCCCACTGGGCTGCATCCCATCCGTTAATCCTCCAAAACCAAAATAACTTTCTCCTCCGAGCTTCACGTTTAAATTTTATCAACAATCCGCTCCTCAGATTCTTCCTACGTTTTTTTGTAGATTTCTTATAAACTCAGGAATAAAATGTAAAAACTCAAAAGTTAGAAGACATTTATAAACATTTTCTTTCCTCTTAAAATATGGGATTTCCTCCCTTTTTTATTTTTATTTTGTCATATTTATACAATCGTCACTTTTTTCAGGAGCTGAAGGTGAAAATTGACCAGATTTAATTTTTACCACTTTAGTTTCTTTCTCCAAATACGTCCGACTATATTTTACCAATAGCAACACAAAGATCGTAGTATCTTCACAGAAAACATGAAATCTGACATTTTCCTCTTCAAAACATCTGCAGTTATAAAATAAAGCCTCAGTTGAATTAACGTTTCGTTGGTCGATTCCATCAGAAGCCGTTTGTGTGATGATGTAAAATAAGATGTGAAATGATTAAGTTCAGGTCGGTGGATGCAGGTTTTTGTATTTTTGAGGTTTGAGTCTTGTTTTTTTTCCCCCTTTGACCTTTGACCCGATCTGTCGTCCCGGTTCCCCGCAGCCAGCTGCGCTCAGGGCAAACTGTGTTTTGTTTTACTTTTTTTCTGCCAGCAGAGCTTTTTAAAAAATCTATTTTTTCAGAGAAAGTTTTGTTTACTTTTGTATGGCTGTCTCGGGACGCTGCCTCTCTCTCTTCTTCCTCTCTTTCTCTCCCCTTCTGCCTCAGAGTTCGTTTCCAGAGAGATCCATCACTGTCGCAGCGAAGCCATGAGGTTGTTTGCTTGTTTTTTTATTTTTTATTTTTTTTATTACTTTCTGTAAGTTAAAAATGAGAAATCATACAAAAGGACTCTGTAAATAAAATCTTAACATTTTCCTCCTGGTGTCTCTTCATGTCTTCATTCTGAATTCACAGTTTAGACAAAAAACTCCTAATAAAAATGTTTCTGGTAAACTTTTATTGGTAAATTTCTACACCAAAGTTGTGTTTAACAGTGACAGTCTACTAAAATATAGTTTATTCCACTAAAGAGGAAAAAAATTAAGTTCTTCAAAAAATTTCAGAAATTTTCTAGAAAAAAACTACATGAGTTTAAAGATTTGCAAGAAAAAAACTTTTCATATCTTTTTGTCAAATTTCTGAGTTTAATCTAAAAAGTCAAATTTTCTAGAAAAATGGGAATTTTAGTTTCAAAAGCTGAAAATTTTCAGTTTGAAACAGGAATTTACCCCCAGAAATTATCAAATTTCTTAATCTAAAAAAAATTCTAGAATAAACCTAAAAGGTCTGAGTTTCAAAAGTTAAAAATTTGTCATGTGAAAATCTTAAAATTTGAGATTTTTGAGTTTTTAAACTCAGAAATTTCCTTTTTTCTAGAAAAATACAACAATCTGAATTAATGAATTACATTTAATTTCCCTTTGGGATCAAAAAGGTATTTTTTGAATTGAAGATTTTTTGGTGGGAATCTATTTTACTATGAAATGACCCTCGTGTTGTATGTATTATAAGAAGCTACGGAATAAATTTTCTGCAACTTCTAGTTGTGACGTTTGTCCACAAGGGGGCAACAAATCAACGTTTTTAGCACGAAATGAATTTATTTCTCTCAGATGAGCCTCAGCTTTCACTGAATGATGTTTATAGTTGCTCAGCTTTACCCAAAGATTGTTTCTAATATTTACTGTAAATAAGTTTGTACTTTGCACAATGCTGTGAAAATGTTGGAAATTTTCAGGATTCGTCACCAAGATGTGACTTTGTTGCATTAGAAAACTTCCAGAGTGAAGAGTCCTCAGTTTTTAACATTTAGTACAAACATACATTAAATACTGATCTTTTCTACCTATTCATTTCATTTAATTATCAAGTTTTAATTTTATTTCCACTGTTTTATGTAGATAAATTAAACAGTTCTTTGTTTCCGGAGCAAAAATGAAGCAACTTCCATGTTGTTGGGGTGAGTAATGTGATCAGAAGGTGGCCCTCAGGTTGCTCCGGTTCTTTAAATCCAGCTCCAGTTTAGCGATTCTCACCTGCAGGATGGAAACAACCAGTCAATCGATTCACTCAAAGTTTGTCCTTTTTATAAAGGGCCTAAACTTTGTGTAGATCGCTGCTGGACCTACAAAAATAGCTTCTTGTGATCAAAGATCAATTATTAACAAACTGATACTATTTAATATGCAACTAAATGGTAAATTAATCAAAAGTTGCTATTTCTGTCCTTACATAACTTCTCTAAATTTAATGTCAACCAGTAAACACTGAAACAAATTTCTGTTTGCTGCAATAGAAAAGCTAATGCAAAAACATTAGCTTACCTCGCTAAGTTAGCATGTTTCGGAATGACATTTTAGAACAAATATTTAGTCCTGGTTAGCATGTTAGTAAATTATTAAAATTATTCATGATCATTTGAGTGCTTTTAGTTAATCCTGTCTAATTCAAATGTTCATGTGGGACAAAATTGTACTTTTGGAATCAAAACAAATTGTTTTACATATATTCATACGCTAATCAAGTTCTGCTAATACTAGTTTAAGTTAGTTAGTTAAACTAGCAATTAAAAAAAAATTAGTAAGCTAAAGTTGTGTAAAAGTATTAGTTTCTAGGACTTGATGTTATGGTAACTGTAACAAAAACCATAGTTTGCCTTTCTTGTATTTTGTAAGATTTACTGTTAATGCTATTTTTATTTTTTTTTACTTTTTAATTATTTAGTTTTTTCATACAATGAGTTGGCCTTCAAACATTTTTGACCAAGAAAAATCACATTTTCTTAACCTGTCAAACAAAATGCAGACAAACTTAAAGTGAAACGTCATCATTTTCATCCGTGTTTATAAACTATAAACCATTTTCTGTTTTTGAGCCGACCTCTTTCTGATGCAGCTCCTCCTTCAAGCCTCTGATCTCGTCTTGTTGTTTGTAAAATGCCTGCAGGAGCTGAAGCAGAGAGTCTGTCATTCTGAGTTTAAGGAAAGTCTTTATTATGAATCTGCGGTTCTGTCGGACCTCGCTCTCGGTTGTCGGCGGCGGTTTCTCGGCCGGTTCGCGGCAGTGAGGCGTGCAGCGGTACGACCACAGCGGACTCTCCGTCTCATCCGGCTGCCAGCCCGACAGGTCGCTCAGCTCTCTGGGGTATTTGGCGTCCTGATAGGCCAGCTGCTCCTCCAGGAAAGCCTGAAAACAAGAAAACAAAACCAAGTGGAGACGTTTACACAACCAGAAATTAAAGTTATCTCAATTGTTTTTATCGATTAATCAGATTTTTGGGTTTTTAAAGATTACATTTTTGGACAATCTGGATTTTTTTCCTTTGGTTTCCATAGTTCAGGTTGATGTGGGCGCTCCACGGCGGCCATCTTGTTTTACAGCTTCTGTTTAACTGGACTTTGAATTCAGGTCAAAAAGGCGACNAAATATAGATGACAATAAAGATGTTTTTTTTTTTTTATGAGAATAAATTCATAATATTACAACTTTATCCAAATAATGTTGATTTTATTCTAAACATACTATAACTTTATTCTCGTAATACTATGACCTTTTTCTTGTAATATTCTCATACAACTTTGTTCTCATAATATCATGATTTTATTCTCATATTCTCTTGTTCAACTTTATTCTCATCACTGTATTTTTCTCAGCATGGCCCTGATGCTCCGTCCTACACCTCTCTGTGTCTTGTGGCTAAACGTATCACACCTTTTCCATAAAGTCCAGGTTTGTGTTTGTCTGGAACCTGACGGCGCTCAGCTGCTTCAACTGGTTTTTATCCGCAGGAATTTCAGCGTACGGATTTTCCACATGAGCCTCCGGCCTCAAGGACATCAGCACCGGGCCTGAAGAGGAGAAGAGAGCCCTGCTAGCCGCGGATATGACCCTGACCGTCTGTAACCACTGGGATGTTTGTGAGGGTTAAATACCCCTGTTGATGCCCAGCAGCCACTCCTGAGCCGTTAAAGCTGCCTGGTTTCCAGCCGTCATCGGATACAAATCCTCCTGGAAAACCTCAGACTGGAACAGAAAACCTCGCCTCATCAGCTGCTGTCACCAATAACAACGAAACAACGGGATGATCAATACCTGTTTGCGCGGTATGACCATCGACAGAGGCTCTACCAGGTCTTTGACGGCAATCAGCCGATAAAAGCGGAAAATCTCACACGCTCTCACATCCAGGCCGCGTTTCGGCATCACACCTGAAATCACAACAGAAATCAGAAATGTTTCCCAGCAGATTTAATCTGAGCTCTTCCATTGTTAACTATCACTGCTTTAACATCATCAAGCGCTACTTTTCAGAACGTGTCCAAAGGGTGGCCCGGGGGCCATTTGTGGCCCTTGAAATGGTTTTAGAGCTAAAGCTAAACCAAAGTTAGCATTGAATTGGTTAGCAAGAGTCCTGAATATTTACTCATTGTTTAGTGTTTCATAATCCAATATGACATTGTTTTTGTTTTGTATTGCCCAATCTCTGTATCCTGGCTCCTTTTAGGAGATCAAACTAATTAGTCTGTCCCCAATTTTTACTTTCACTATATTCAAAATCTACGTAGGCTTCTCTATGTTCAGCACTTTCTCCAACCGAACTTGTTTTCTCCATTTTAAGTGATTTAAATAGTTGTGTTGAGTGTGATAAACCAACCCAGGCCTTTCTGTGGCAGCAGCGACCTGTACTCCATCAGGAAGCTGATGTAGGGTTTCTCAGAGCTCAGCTCGTAGTATCTGATGTTCCCGTCGCCCTAAAACACAACAACAACGTTAATACCAAAAATCAATGCTGCTGTTTTTAATACTAAAGTATTTAGAGGCAAATACTATCTGAAACCAATCAGAAGTACTGATTGCCAATCTAGACCAAAAACCTTATAAACATCACAGGAATTACACTGAACCAACAATTGGTAAATAACACTTTACTGAACTAGGAAAACGTTTTAGTGTTCAGACCCGACATGTTCCAGTAGTTATTCTGGATTTAATTAGCATTTTTCAAACCTTTCCAGCCAAGTAGAGCATCTGTGTATCAGGGTCGTAGAACGGGAAGAGAACTCCTGCAGATCCGTCCAGATCTTCTTCATACAGAGGCTCCGATAAATCATCCTGCATAGAAAAGGTCAAAAAGATGTTTTAGGTTTAAACCACATGTGTCAAACTCAA